GACAAATTATACATAGCAGATCAAGAAATATATGTCTAGGTAAGGTTTCTATGAGAACAATTGGTCTTTGCCCAAGATTTATATACAAGACACAGTAATTAAAAGTACCAGACTGGTGGAACTAACCTTCTTGGATGTATAACAGACATACTTTGAGGCCTATAATAATTTGGTCAGAGGGACATAAAGGACACCTTTTGCTCCTTGCCCTCCTAGGTCGACTAGTTTCAGGGGACTATGAGCATCTCTCAAAATGTCCTATAATTGTGGTGCGTTACCTCTTGATCAAGGAGGCCGGGGAGACCCCACCAGATGGACTTGAACCAGTGTCCAGTCTATAAAAAGGAGGGTCAACACAGAGGAATCATTTCCTCCATCCTTCCAAGGGAAGCCAACCATGGTCACACAGGACCTTTGACTTATCTTCACATACGTGGAACTGGTAAAAGAAAGGTGCCAGGGGCTCCTCCCAAGCCCATATGACCCCTGAGGAACAGATCCTCAAACAACCTTAAAAGTAAAAATAAATTGATTTTATCTGGACCAACTGTGTGGCCTTAAACACCCAAAAGGAAAGTGTAACCAAAGATTAAATGGGCCAACATAATTTCATAAGAGGCCATATGTATAACTAAAGGCTATATAACAAGCAACAATGCCAGACAAGCAATACCTTCTTTTGAGTTGATAGCCAGGGTGGCCAAAGGGATTCCTAGATAGTAACCCAGCATAGAACTTGGAAAATGAACAGCAGACCCCAATCTTATCCAATGGAATATAGACAACTGATTAGCGCTAGATGAAGAACAGCTGACCCTCCTAAAACAAAGACCTCTAGACCTCTAGATAGGCTGACTAGATTCATCAGAAGGGCAAGTAGTGGGGAATGGCTGGGGGTCCTGACAACACAGCAGACAGTAGCAGGGATATCAGAGTATAAAGGCTCTAGTGGGAGGAGGGAGGCTCTGGGAGGGTGCTACCTGGGAAGTGGGTGTCTAAATAAATAAATAAGAAAAAAAAGTTTTATGGGCTGGGCATGGTGGTACATGCCTTTAATCCTAGAACTCTGGAGGCCAAGGCAGGCAAATCTTTCTGAAATCAAGGCCAGTCTGGTCTACATAGTGAGTTCCAGGCCTGCTGGGGCTATTGGAAGACCTTGTCTCAGAAAGATCAATAAAAAAAGTTTTATGCGCTGACAAGATGGCTCACTGGGTAAAGGCACTTGCCTCCAAGCCTGAAAACTTGAGTTCAATCCCCAGAACCCACAGAAAGGTGGAAGAGAGAACCAACTCCACAAAGTTGTCCTCTTACCCACAGACACACACACACACACACACACACACACACACACACACACACTCTCACACAGACAAATGTTCCCTCACATCATGTGTGTACACGCAGTAATAATAAATTTTTAAATCGTTTTGAAAACCTTAGGGGGTGAGGAGATGGCTCAGCAGGTAGTGTATTTATGAAAGCATGAGGAACTAAGCTCAGTTCTTCTAGCACCACATAAAACTGTGCACACCTATGATCACAACACTGGGAGGCAGAGACAGAAGGATGTAGGGAGTTTCTACTCAATCGGGATGCTCCAAATTCAGTGAGAGACCCTGTCTCAGCAAAGGTGGAGAATGATAGAGGAAGACACCCAACATTGAAGTCCAGTCTTCATGAGCATGCATGCATAGGTGCACATACATGTGTACATACAACATAACACGCATACAAGTGAATATAAAAGAATGTTTTAATTTAAAAAAAATACTTGCAATCATAGTTGGAAATTCAAGGGTTTTCTGTTGTTTTTCTAGACAAGTACTGTACCACTGAGATACACTTCCAGCTCTAAATATAAGATTGTGCAGAGAAAAGCATCTGAATTCAGCATAGGAGGCAAAAATAACCAGCCAAAGCAGATAGAAAGAAGTGCAACCTGAAACTAAAAGGTCAGGGGGTTCCAAATATGGGAGGTGTGGGTAGCAGGACCGCCAGAGGCAAGGGAAGGTTTGAAGAAGGAGGCACAGAAAGGTGTGAAGCATATCAAGAGAATCCATACCCGAGAGGCTTTACTTTTTAATCTATAACAATTTGACTTCAGATGATCATTCTGAACCGGTGCTAAGCAGTGTTCAATTCTATTGTCACTGACTGTGGTGACTTGTCCACTGATGCTCTCCTCTAAGGATATCCAAAGTTCAGAGCAGGTCACCATGACTAGGAACTACTGTGCCTCCCAGCAGTATAAATAGAGTCTAGACATTAATAAGACATAGGTTAGCAGATGCAGTTTGTTCTTAAGTATGTTCTCAAGAGCTCTGGGTGAGGTTTTTCAGGGCACTTTCATGTCAAAGATAAATAAGAAACACATACTGAGTCCTTAGGCTGACACTTTAGAAAAGTGCGGGCTCCCAGTTTCTATGGCCATGTTTACAGCTATGTGGATGTTCACGCTGGCAACTTTGTCATGGGCAAAGGAACTAAGCCAAAAGAGGAAGGGAGCCGGCACCAAAGTGATGTCTCAGCAACCTAGATAAAGGAAGGTCTTGCAACATTGCAAATACAGAAAAGATGATGGCTGTTTGATCATTTCATGGTACATAAAAATCTAATGTGTTCAACCCCAAAGAATCTAAGCTGCAGCAGAATGAATAAAACTCCTATGGAGAACAGCCTCTCGCTTATACTAAAGCAAAGTGAATACTGTTGAGGTTGTGTTGCGGGTTTGAGATGTAATAAATACATTGTTTGGGGTATATTTAACTTGTAAGAACTCTTTGTGGTTCTCTCATAATTTCACGACAGAAAACAGCTGCAGGAGTTCACACATTTGGAAGACAACCCTGGTGGATCTGTGAGAAGTTTTTCCATCAAAATGTATTTGCGCCTTTTGAATAAAAGGGCCTGGCAATGTCTTCTTTTCTATTTCTGAGGCCTGAAAATGAGCTTGAATTTGAAACTCACTTTCAGTTTTTCCAGGCCCATGTATACCTTTCTTTGTCTAGCAGGCAATGTATTTCAATATAAATAGTATTCATTTGTTGCTTTCTTTTCTTTTTCAGATAAAGTTATCTGACTTTGGTTTCTGTGCTCAAGTTTCCAAAGAGGTTCCAAAGAGAAAATCACTGGTGGGTACCCCGTATTGGATGGCGCCTGAAGTGATTTCCAGGCTACCTTATGGGACAGAGGTAAGTGGATAGAGGGCATTTTTTGTACTTGCAGAGTTCAGGTCCTGCTCAAGGACACAGTGGTCCTGGTTGGTGTTAAAGGGTTTTAACTCCACAGTTATTCCCTACCCACTGACTTGGTGCAGAGTCAGTTATGACAAAAGGGACATTGACCACCACTGAGAACATCACCAGAATGTTCATCCAGAGGCTTTCCATGGGGTTCTACAATGGACAGTGGGCTGGGGAGGTGAGACACTAAAATGCCCATCCCACTCAGTGGCAGGCTGCAAGGCAATGCAACTGGAATACAACACAGAATTAACATTACACATGACGTTTTAGTATAAGTGAATTGCTGTTCTCCATAGGGATTATATTATTCACAGTGCCACAGTTTCGATTTTTGGGGTTGAACATGCTAGACATGCATCACTGTTTCAGAAAAGAGCAAGAAGCTCAGAAAATGTGCCAAAAATGGAAGTAATATTTGAATATAACAGAAATGTGATAGAAAAATTGCATGCATATTATAATATTCAAAAATATAGTATGATTTTTCTGTCTTCAGGAAGGGAAATAATAAACCTTATTAAGGGATTGCGCTTAGATATATGAAAATGGGGTTTCTAGGAAGTGGAGCAAAGGCTTCCTAAGGAGAGGACAGTGGAGTAGAATCTCTGAGGCACACAGACTCTGCACTGGAGGACAAGAAGCTTCCACACTCTGGATGGCTTGGACTGATGAGCAAAGTCCTCGGGTGAGCACCCAGCCTGTTTATCTCTGGTTCCAAGAGATAAATCCTCAGTGAAAGTCACTGCAGGAGCTGGAGCAGCAGAGCACAGAGAAGAGGTGCAATGAGGCTGAAACAGCCGTGGTCAGAAGTGGGGGTCACAGCTGCGCTGGCGTCTCATCGTCCTGCCCTCTCATCCCTTACACAGAGATGCTTGTCTTAGCTCCCTCCTGTCCACTCCCGAAAAACACTTTATAAAGCATAATTTGGCATAGGTGGCTCTAAAATGATAAAATATACGTCGATAACCCCAAGGTAGGGTGAGGAAAGAACTAGTCATGAACGTTTAACTTGTGACAGTATGTTCCACATTGTACAGTGTAGTTCCTTACAGTTTGTCACAAAAAAAAAATCTCTCAACTTCTTATGGTTTCGATGCAACATTTCCCTCTATTTTTATAATGTAAACGTTTGATTTTTTTTCATCTGTCCTGATAAGCAGTTAATACAGAAGTTATCAGGATAAAAATTAAAGTTCTAAACTTAAAATTGTCAAATTTTTCATTTCTAATGATTAGTCAACCCTTTACTGGAATCATCTTGAAAAGCAAATGGGCTAGAGAGTGACTTAGCAGATAAGAACAGATACTGCTCTTGTAGAAGACCCAAGTTTGATTCCTAGCATCAGTGACTCACAACTGCCTGTAGCTCCAGTTCCGGCAGATTTGACCTCCTCTTCTGGATGCCACAGGCACCTGCACTTACAGGGTGCATAAACGTACACTCGGGCACACACACATACTCAAAAACTAAAAAGTGAGTATATCTTTTTGAAAATTGTAAACAGGGACTGGAGAGCTAGCTCAGCTGTTAAGAGCACTGGCCGCTCACGCAGAAGACCTGAGTTCAGTTCCCAGCACCCACATGGAAGCTACCAGCCAGCTATAACTCCAGTTCCAGGGAATGTGATGCCCTTTTCTGTCCTCTTCAGGCTTTGTATGACATGCATGTGCTTAAGTACATGCGGGCAAAACACTCATAGACATAAAAAAATAAATAAATAAAAATTTTTAGTAAAAATTTAAAAATGTAAACAAAGATCATTAGCCAAAAAGTGGTAACTCAACAACTCAGCCTATAAATTTTTATTGCAAATTTTGAGAAATTTCAGATCAATTAATTTTTGAATGAGTATGGATGTACTGGGTTTTATGGGCACATCCAGCACTCCAGAGTGTTCTTCTTGTCTGACATAAACAGTGGATATGCCTAACAGGTGGACATCTGGTCTCTCGGGATCATGGTGATAGAGATGATTGATGGTGAACCCCCATATTTCAATGAGCCTCCTCTCCAGGCGATGCGGAGGATCCGGGACAGTTTACCTCCAAGAGTGAAGGACCTGCACAAGGTGAGAAGTGTGTGTGCTGCTATGTCCAGTGGAGTTACTGGGTCTGTCAGTTTTTCTGTTGATTCATAGACTGGCATATCGAATCCAGTGGGTTGGAAAACCCTAATCTAGGGCCATGGATCTTGGACTTAGTCATCTAGATTCAACCTCTGTCCTTCTGTGCATTTGTTGGGCAAGTGACTTAACACCTTTAATTCCAAAGTTTTTCATCTGTAAGTGGAATGTGACCAGCTAACCTCTCAAGGGATGATTATGTCTTCACTGAGTACCCGGTATCCTCTAGGGACTCCTAACTGCTAGGGATGTTGCAGCATAAGACTTCAAATTCTTTGACTGTTGTAGAGCTTGCATTCTGGGTAGAGAAACAGATGATAAGCTTTACACAAATGGATGATGTTCCGGTTTTCTTTCTGTTGCTATGATAAAGCACTGACCTAAATCAACTTAAGGAGGAAAAGGGTTTACTTTATCTTACACTTCTGTGTAACAGTTCACCACTGAAGGAGGTTAGGGCAGAAACTCAAGACAGGAACCTGAAGAAGGAAATGAAGCCCAAACCGTGGAGAAACGCTACTCACTGGCTGGCTTCCCATGCTTTGCTCAACTACTTTTCATATACAGCCCAGGTGGGCCCACCTGCCCAGGGATGGTACTACCTACAATGGGCTGGGTCCTCCTGTACCAATTAGCAAGAGAGGAAGTGCCACACAGATATAATAACCACAGGCCAGTCTGATGGAAGAAATTCCTCAACTGGAGTTTCTTCTCCCCAGGTGACTCTACTTTGTGTAAAGTTGACAAAAACTAATCACCACAGATAAAACAATGCAGTACATACGATAAAGCAAAGTACTGTGAATAGACAAAGTGTGCAAGAGAGGGGACTGAGGGCTGCCCTGGGTTGAAAAGTCAGGGAAGCCCTTTATGGAAGGGCTCATCTGAGCAGAAACCCAAATGGAAAGAAGGTACCGGCCATGCGAAGGTCTGGAGATAAACATCCCAGGCAGAGGGAACATCAGGTGCAAGGACCTGAAACTGAAGAAGAAAGCTTGTATGCTGTGGTAACACAACAAAGAGGCAAGCACGGGACATTTCAGAGAGGTGGGAAGGAGCTACATCATGCAGGGTAACAAAGGACAGATTCATATCAGAGACCAAATGTGATCTTCACGTGTTCCAAGACTTCCCAAACCAGGGATGAGCCCAGGCACCTGGTTAGTTCAAGAAGAACCCTTCTAGCTGTCAGCTTCCTGCATGACTGGACATTTCCAGGTCAGCCCTGACCCAACCACTCCTCTCTTCATCTGCTTTGTAAAAGTGAGAGAGAATGTGAGGCTGTCTTGTAGAGAACAGTCTGAAATGACAGAAACCTCCCTTTTCTCTTACCTAAACCTTAGAGAAGAAAACTCAGAATTGTTCATTCAGGGCTATGGACATGCAACAAAAGGAAACTATTAGAACTCAGTAAGAGTTTGAAACTTTTGCTAGATTGGATTAAGTGCAGGTGATGAAAATGACTAAAAATGTGTTGTGTGAAAATAGCCCCACACTCAACAGAAATGAATGTCAATATTATACACACAAGAGTATCTTTAATCCTAATGGTCAAAACTGGAAAAAGCCTGCTTGTTTCCCAGAAGAACACATGATATGTAGAATAATTGGCTAGTGAATATTACATAGCAATAAAAAGAAATGAAGGCTTTGTCATCATATGCATCAGAAATGAATCTCACAGACAAAATGTTGAGTGCAGTAAGACTGAGAAGAGTTCACAGTGTGACTATTTGTATAAAACTCAAAAGCAGAAGAAACAAATATATATCCTAGAGCAGTAAGAAGAGTCATTAGCTTTTACAGGGAGGTAAGTAGAGGCAGAAGGAGGCACAAGGTACCCTCTTGAAATGGTAGCAATATTCTAGATCTCAATAGAGATGAAAAGCAAGTAGCAAGATGTCAACACATATTAAAGTCTATCAGGACATTCACTTAATGTGTGTGCACTTGAATGTGAAGAAGACCTCAGAAAAGCACACTGTAAAAATTGAAAGAGAAAATGATGTCTATCAATCAGACGTATAAAAACTTGCTTCTCTTTGTGAATGAAGAGTCCATGGAGTCTAAATAGCTGCATTGTTAAAAAAAATATTGCCTTTTATACTCTGTCACATCATCAGTACCTATGTAGTCACTTTACAAGTTGCTCTTAGCACTTTGCATCATTTTCTTTAGTAAATAATCTCTCTATCTTTTAGCTTTATTATTTCAGACTTTGAAGGCAACATTGAAGATAACACCTGCATTTATTTCCATAATATCTTTCTTTTAAAATAACTGTATGATTTGAGGTTCTTAATAGAATTAGGTGGGGCACCATTTCAGGGGACTGGGCTATGTTTCTGTGTTAGTCTTCAGTGTGGTGTCTATTTGTTTTCACAGGTTTCTTCAGTACTCCGGGGATTCCTGGATCTGATGTTAGTGAGGGAGCCCTCTCAAAGAGCCACAGCCCAGGAACTTCTTGGACATCCATTCTTAAAATTGTCAGGTCCACCATCTTGCATCGTTCCCCTCATGAGACAATACAGGCATCACTGAGCTGAGCTGATTCATAGGAGACAAAGCTAGGCAGGGACATAAGAATAATTCAGGAGAACATGAGGAAACCCACAGAACATGCATTCTAGACCAGCTGATTGGTGGGACAATGCGATGACCGGCAGGGTTCAACAGACCAGGGCATCTTCTTGTGTCTTAAATAGGCATCTCTCCACTGACAGCTGGCATGGTCATTTGGACCCTGGCTTTAATAAGTCATTATTATATACTTTCAGCCCTTCATCCAGCAAATCAGAAGGACTCAGTACAAACTCCGTTATGATATATCCTAGCCACATGCAGGGTACCGCATAGGATTTTCTATATTGAAAGAATACTTTTCTGGCAAAAAAAAAAGAAAGAAAGGAAAAACAAAAAGCACTTTTTTCTTAATGGTAGCAGTGTAATGTATTTTGCAATGAATTTGTAATTTTTCTGTACGATAGTTTTGATAATTTATAGTATTTGATGTCACGTAGCCATTGTATCGGTTGAAGTAATACTTATTTACTAGCAGGAGTTTGAACAAAGCCTTTCCTACTTTTTTATCCCTTTCAGAGAACCAACGATTCTTTAGGAACTTTGAATACTGAATGACTCTCAATCACCGTCAGCTTTAGTAGAATATCTTTCTTATCTTAACAAGTGTCTTATATGATGGAAGAAGAGTTAAGAGTGATGGTGATGGTGTGTACATTTCACTTATCTGACCAAAAATAATGAAATAAAATTTGAGCCACAGTATCACCAAACTATTCCTTGGGGTGATGCCAAATATTCTGAAAAATTACATTTTCCTTCAAGGATTATGGTAGCAAACCATTTTTGTACACCAAGATGTTTCCCTTGACACCCACCTTCAAATGTGTACGGGGACCCCTAGGGCCAAATCCCACCCCCAGGAGCAATTTCAGTGCTGGGATCATTGAACTCAGTCCCCCAAATTGAATGTTTCAGTGACATCATGGAAATTCTGGGCTCACAAAGGGACAGGAGAGTGAAGAAGGCAAGATGTTTGGTTTCGTTGTCACTGTTTCTAAAACTCTGTGTGCTAGCACACCAAACTCTTGTCTGTATTTACCTTCGTACCACAGTATTACTCGCTGTTATTCATGTATTGTGCTGGAAGTCTGAACTGACGATAGAGGATGAATTAGCAAGGGGTATTTTACCAGGCATGGTCTAACTTCTGTGGTGACCATGTTAAAATGTGTTTCCCACATAGGAGAGTTGTGCTGCTGTCTAGATCTTCTCGAATGTTGATAAAAATGAATGACTACTACAATACATTTGTGTTGCTTGTTGGATGAATTTGCATGTTAACTGTAGGCCAATATAGATTTGCCTTTAAAACTCTGGAAAAGCTACATAGTCATCATTAGTTTCTATTAATTATGCATCAGACAAAAGCCATTTGTTACCAAACTGGAAACCAGAGGCTTTTCTTAATGACTTTGCATACTGTAATAAATATGAAATTAAATTTGTGAAAATGCTCTGGTTGCTCTAAGCATAATTAAGAATTTTGTAATTAATAGGTTGAGAATTATTTATTATAGTTTAAAAGGAAAAAAAGGCATAAATGACCTTCTGCTGATTATATTTTCAGTTTTTCCCCAAACTGGAAACGTTTCACCATAAATAAAATATGTAATTTTGTTTCATAAAACACAGAAAATCAATGTTTTATGTAAACTACTAAGTTTTTAATATAAATCTGTAAGAACAGAAGCAATCTCAATCCAGAAAATGGAGTCCTAAGAAGTCAAGAATCAGACTGTCATAATTCAACCAGGATAATGTAGAAGTGCAAAGTACGAGACAACCCTTTTTTTAACCAGAATAAACATTAAAAAAATTGCAGGAAATAATGGATTTTGGATTTAAACATTTTTTGACAGTGTATTGGAAACTTTTTCTGTAATTTTCTCCTTATTATTTTTTAAAGTATTCATTGAGTTTACCAAATGTTACTGTAGCTTAAAAGGATCTGTGAGCACTAATCATTGGCAGAAACTGCACTTGCAAATAAAAATAAATGTTTGCCTTTTCCCATTCTGTTATTGGAAATACTTATTTTCTGAATTTGCTTTATTGAGTAAATAGGAATGGTTTGTTTATTATCTTGGGGGATACAAATGAATTTGTTTAAAGTTAACATCATGGTGTCACAAACTGAAGATAAACATCTCCTCTCCCAGAGCTTATCAATTAAGATTGTCATATAGAGGACAGGAGACATGGCTCAGTAGTTAAGAGCACTGGCTGCTTTTGCAGAAGACCTGGATTCAGTTCCCATCACCCACATGTGGCTAACACTTTTCCATAACTGTAGTTCCAGGGGATCCAGAACCCTCTTCTGTCTTTTATGCCCAGGTGCACTTACCTATATGCAGGAAAAGCACTCAAACATTAAAAATAAAATTTTGAAAAAGGTTATCAGATAGATATCCCTACCGAGGAAAAATATACTAAATTCTAACGGTAGAAACCAGTTTCAAGGAAAACCAGATTCAGAGCTGAAGACCTCTACCTCTCTATTAGAAGGGCATTGCTTTGATTTGTGGCCTTTTATCAACAAATATTATAAAAAAGATGAGAAAGACTAGTGAGTGTTCACCCCCTGACTCTTCTTTGATTGACAAGGAAAACACTAACATTGATCCTGTAAGTTGAAGGGGAATGTTTCTGTTAAGAATTCATATTTTGTCCTGAAATCTTGGAAGGTGAAAACCTTTAGGAAGAAGCCTGGGAGAGACGGATGAGGCGGAACAGAGTATATCATGTGTCAAGAAAGAGAAAGAGGGAGGCAACCTTCCGCAGCAGGCCCTCACCTTTGCAGGAGTAGGCATTAAGTTCTCTTGACCACATCTGATGGAGCATGGAAAAGAAGCAAGGGACACATCAAACTACTTTTTTAAGTAATGGGGGCTGGAGAGATTGCTCGGTAGGTAAGGACACTTACCACCAGCTAATGACCTGAGCGTAATCCCTGGAACCAACATGCTACGAAGAGAAAACTGGCAAGTGGTCCTCTGATCTCCACATGCATGCTACAGCAAGAGCACTCATGTACACACATACATATACACACAATCATCAATAAATATAAGAAAAATTTATTAAAAATACTGAGATGCCAAACCCACAAAGTCCGTTTGAGGTCTGTACCTTGGTGATGACTAAAGGGAATTAAAGGGAGATATGTTGACTTTTCTATAGTGAGATCAGAGTGAACTGGAAACTTACTCTAAAAATCACATATAACATCTACATAAAGATGCCTCTGAACAGCAGTGCTTATAGTCTTCATGCAGAATCAGAATGAGGTTTAGGAATCCCTTCTTCCAATAGCATCTCAAGTCAGCTGAGGTCAGATGACGACAATGAGGTCCGGTTATCCATGCCCCCCACTCCCACTAGACCTGGGCCTATCACAGTGTTAGACTCCATGTTTTGGACTATGGACTATGGAAGCATGCTGTGCATCCTGCCATAGCATTCCCACTGCTGTTTCTCCCCCTGGTACAAAGTCACCCAACGCAAAGGAGAGGTGTGCTGGTTTTGAATTGGGAAGAGATTGGTTCTTTGAAAGCTGGATTAGATAAATGGAATCAAGCTGAGTTATGGTTGTGTTCCATTACCCACTTGGAATAGCACACTCACTAGCAATTACTAGAAAAATAAAATCATTCCAGTAAGTTAACAACTCAGAGTCAGACTCCTTTCTCAATCTGATCAAAGAAACAGGTAATGAGATGAGAGAGAGAGAGGGGAGAGAGAGAGCGAGAGAGAGGGAGGGAGAGAGAGAGCACTGAATTGTATCTGGAGCAGATATAAAATACACAAACGGAAAATCTTGCGAAGGTGGCTTGATACAGTAGACAATGCACAGGATTGCATGAATGCGCAGGGAGGCCACCCTGTGAGCACTGTGTGCATTTTAGTTATGTTTCCATTTTCAGATTACATTATCTGACTGTGGGTTATACCAAAAAGGAAGCCTAGGACAAAGATTTAAACACACGTTCTTTGTTTGTGCAGTGACCCTGAGAAGCTCCATGTGCCAGAGTGAAGAAAGAAGTCAAAGAGGAACAAATGCTATGTAGGTATTTCCTCCAAATGGAAACACTGTCTCTGGGAGGGATAGAGGATGGAGGGAGGTTCATAAGACTCAGGAAACTCACAAGGACTTAAGATTCATGAGGCCCCCTTCTTGAGATTATATAAACAACAAACAACTACTAGGGAAGAAGAGACTAGTCAGAGGAACTTCCTCTATGTTGGGCAAGGAGCACCAGGCATTACTATTTGTGAGTCACCATCCATGCTGGGATGGAGCTTTTGAGTGCTGCAGCTATCTGAAAGCTAACTATACTCCTGTAAACAACCGGAATAAACTCATAATTTTGCCAAGCTAGACTTAATGGGATTGTTTCTTTGGTCTATCACCAGTGCCATATTTGTGGTAAAAAGATAATTGTTCACCTTTTCCCAGGAAAAGTCAGGCAACATAATTAGCACCTGAACAGAGACCAACAGGATTAAAGATGAGTGAATGTCCTGGTTTCTTCATTGCTGTGACAAAACACTCTGACCACTACCAACTTGGGGAGGAAAGGGTTTATTTGTCTTACATCTCTCAGGTCACAGTTCATCAGGGAGCCCAAGGTAGGAACTCAGGGTCATGCTTCTTCTCATGCACCTCCATCAGGAAGCTGACAAAGGTGGCACTCTGGGAACCTGGGTCAAGGGAACTTCAGTTGCATTTCTTCTGTCAGATTGGCCTGTGGGAATGTCTGTGAGGCTTGATTTTCTTGATTGTTGAGTGACATGGAAGGGCCCAGCACACTGTGGGTGGTGCCACCTCTGAGCAGATGGTCCTGGGTTGTATAAGAATGCAGGCTGGTCAGGCTTGGTGGCACACGCTTTCAATCCCAGTGCTTGGGAGGCAGAGGCAAGCGAATCTCTGTGAGTTCCAGGCCAGCTGGGGCTATAGGAAGACCCCATCTCAAACAACAACAAAAAAGAATGCAGGCTGAGCACAGGCTAGGAGAGCAAGCCAGAAAACACCATTCCTCCATGGTCCATGATTCAGTTCCTGCCCTGGCTTCCCTCAGTGATGAACTGCAAGTTGGGGCAGCCAAATAAACCCTTTCCTCCCTGTCTTTGCCCCACAGACTTGGCCACAGGCCAGTCCAATGGAGTTAATTTCCCAATTGAGGCTCCCTCAACCCAGGTGTGTCAAGTTGACAGTAAAGCTATCCAGCACAGTGAACTTTTAATTGGTGATAAGACAGTCAGTTGAGGCTGATCCATCTAAGGGTGAAACATCCATAAGGGAATCCCATCATGACTACCTTTCTCTACGAGGTGTAGGATGCTATGACTTCTTGCTATAATAACAGTTGCATGTTCTCTGACATGAGTGACATGCAACGAAGGCCAAGCTGAGGGTGGTGTATCCATGGGAGAATCCAAGGATAGTCATTTTCACTGTGTAGTATGGGGTGCCATGTCTCCTTGATCAGTAAGGTCTCCTGTGAGATGGAGATTCCCTAAACATGGTTGATGGACTAGACTATAATCTTGGAAAGCAGAACATATGGGATGGGATTGAAATCGGGCTATGATGGGAGTTGCACGGCCTTTGCTCTGGGCGGTAAGATATGCAACTGAGGTTCAGTTATCTTCCCAGGAAAAACACTGCACATGTAAGGAAGAAATTAGAATGGCAAAATACATATAGATGCTATCCTCTATATTAGCTTCTGATTTGACAGGAAAAGTGGGGGGTGGGGGGAAGAGGGCAGACAAAATGGAGGTGCTGGGTTGCCATTTCTTACAGCCGGTAGGATACAAGAGAGAGTACTAAATAGATCTGTCCTAACAAGTACTTTCTGGGCCCCCAAAATTTAGATTCTGTGGGAAGAATGGACCATTGAAGAGGCAAGTGAACAAATATAAGTGAAGGAGATACACTTCAGATCTGACTTTTAAGGAAAATCTGTGATAGTTAGGGACTTCTCAACATCCAAACTGCTTTAATTAGGAAAGACTTTTAAATAAAAAGTAAAAGAGCCTCTCATAGGCTGGCTGGTGACGCTGTGGGCTATAAGAGTAGCAGAGATCAATCTGATCACCCCAGAAGCAGAGAAACTGAGTAATAATAACTCCTTGAGATAAAAGTTGTATAATCTGAGGAGACATGAGTAAAATCAGTCCCTGGTAGATGGGCTTATACAAGCCCATCAGGGACACCTCACTATCACCAGCTGAGGGCCCCATGAATATCAAAGACCAGAAGATGACAGAGAAAGAAGCAGCATTACTGAAGAAACTGGAGCATGTAGTAAGTGATGTTTGGTGCCTACTTCACCACGTTTGACAAGGCTGTGCTCACAAGGAAGTTAAGAAGTTAATCTATCAAGGACCTTGGGACTAGTACAGTACTCTAGTGACTTGGTAAGCCATGGTGAGATGTGGTCTGTAGAGGGTAGGAGAAGCTCTGGTGTAAATTGTGGAGCCAGACTTTCAAGAGAAAAATTGACAGAAAGTCAAATGCATGGTAGGGGGCCCCTGGAATGTGATAAAGGGGTGAATGAAGGAAAGAATTGAAGAGTGATAGTGGCCAAAAGATCAAGCTTGCCCTAGGGATTTGCAGCTATCCTCTCAGACTATGGTATGTATACTTGGCCCCTTCAAGAAAGTAAGTATACTGTTTGGGGATTCTCTTGGACTGCCCTGACCAACAACTCAAAGGGAGATACTCCTGTCTAGCATTGTGTCTCTTGTTGCATATCTGTCAGGTATACAATGTGCTCATGTTCAGATGTTGTATGTGTATTTTTCACACCATCTAAGCTTTTTAAAACTTTCTCTTTCTTCTCTTCCCATCTAACCTCCCTCGTCCTTCCCCAGTTAAAGTAACCCCTTGATAATTTCCCCCTTGATAACACCTGTCTCATATTACCCCCTCTCTTCAGACCCCCATGATTCCTTGTATGTCCTTCCCTCCCCCATTCCCAGTTGAGTACCTCCATTTTCCCCAGTTC